CAAGAGTAGAGGGGATTAGGGGCCCATACAGTGGCTCAAAGCCACTGTAATCCCAGCTACTGAGAAGGCAGAAATGGGGAGGAGAGCAGTTCAAGGCCAGCCTGGGTTGGAAGAATAGTGAGATCCCATCTCAACCAATAACCTGGGCATGGTGGTGTGCACTTGCCATCCCAGCTATGAGGTGGAAGTGGGAGGTGTAAGGAGGAGGGTAAAGACTGTCCAAGCCGGGACCCATCAAAACCCGTGAGGCCCTATTCGAAAACTAGCTAAAGCAAAGAGATTGGTGTGTTGTTTGAATGGTTGGAAGCACCTGCCTAGCAAGCTCCAGGCCCTGAGTTCAAGGGGATTTGTCCTTTTCCATCTTTTTGTTCTGTTCAGGCCCTGGATGGGTTGGACACACCCACTCACAGCAGTTCAGTCTAACTCAAACGCTGATCTCCTAGAAACACCGCAGGTACACCCAGCCATCTGGTACCCCTCATGCCCTCCAGTGAACGTATGAGAGTAATGATCACGATGGCCCCCCATGCACACACACACACGCATACACGCACGCACATGCACGCACATACACACGTACACACATGCACATGCAACCCCACACATGTACACGTGCACACCTGCACATGCAACCCCACACATGTACACGTGCACACACACATGGACACATAGACACATAGCACACACGTACACACATGCACACACACATACATGCAAGTCTCACACGTGCACACCTATATACACATGCACACACACATACATACATGCACACACACATACATACACCAACACACACACAATACACCATTTAGGCTTTTTATTACTCTTTTAAGGTGCATTAAAATTATTTTGAGAAAGGAGAGGGTGGGGAGGAGAGGAATGTGATTGGAGTTCTTCAGATTCAAGTTTGCAAGTAGAGTAATGAAACTTGTTAAAATCATTTCCAAAGTGGGTAAGTGCCCACGACCTGCGTGGGTGTGCTGCGTGAACCTGACTAACAGCGGCGGGGGAATGAGAAATAAGACACACACAGACATATAGACATAAAACAGAAAAGCTGGGGACGGGAGGACTGCACGTTCCTAAAGGGAAATGTGAACACCTCCCTGAGCCAGAGTGTTTATTTTATAGGTCAGTACAAGGAAAAAACTCAGGTAAAAATCAGGCTTCAACAATTCTTTGATTTCAGGTAAAAGGAATGAGGTTTGGTGGGTTAATTTTCCTAAGGCTAATGAAGCTTAATTGCAACATATCTGTTCTGAAATAATCAAGCACACAGGACACCTTACCTAAGGTATTGATTAATCTGGTATCAGGGAGTCTCCTAACAGTTCTGGTACTTTATCTAGTTTTGCATCAGGGGGCTGGTATGCGGACACAGCAGGTTGTATTCTTCAAGGAGATGTGAGAACAAAGGTCAAGACACCAGGTACTGGGAAAAATATGGTGGGAGAGGCTGTGCAAACTTCTACCATGGAGAGGCTGTGCAAACTCCATTATATCCCAGTCCAGGGTTCATGCCTGGTCTCCAACAGTTAAGGGGGAGAAGAATGAGTAAGAGGGGATGAATTTGATCAAACTACGTTACATGCATGCATGGAAATATCCCAATGAAGCCCTTTGTACAATTACTATGCTAACAAAGAGAAATACTTTGAGACAGTTACAGGTGCACAGGAAGCTTCAACAACAGTACAGACGTGTCTGATGTGCCCTACATCCAGTTTTCTCCCATGGTCATATGTTAAGTAAATATGGTCCCATGTCCAAACCAGGATGCTGACATTGGTCCAGTGTGTGTTTGTATAATCCTAGGTCATTATTATAAGCAGCAGTGCCTCCATACCGGTGGGGGTTATGCTGTCAGTGGGTGTCTGAAACTGAGAACCTCATATAAAGTATGTCTTTTCCTAAGCCAGGCACTGGTGGTCACGCCTGTAACCCTAGCTACTCAGGAGGCAGAGATCAGAAGGATCAAAGTTTGAAGCCAGCCCAGGGAAAACAGTTTGTGAGACCCTATCTTAAAAAAACTCATCACAGAAACAGGGCTGGGGAAGGGCTGGAGAATGCCTGCCTAGGAAGCATGAGGCTCAGAGTTCAAATGCCAGTAACACCAAAAAAAAAAAAAAAAAGTCTGTCTTTTCCTATACATACATACCGAGGCTAAGTTTTCACCTTTTCACCTGAAGGAAGCACTTCCTGGCTTTTCCATAGCTTGTGAGAATTGCTGCCATCAACGACTTTGGGACTGATAGTAAGTACAATAAGGGTGACTTGAGCATATGCGCTGCTGTACTACAACTGATTTGGTAACCAAGGTAGCTAATGAGTGACTAATTGGACGGTAGTGTGGACACACTGGATGAGGGCATGATTTCACCCCACTACTCAGAACAGTGAACAACTTAAAACTTAGAGCTATTAGTTTCTAGAATGTTCCATTTAATATTTTGATTTGCTGTGGACAACTGGAACAATGGATGAGAGTTTGGATACATGTAAGCACGACAGCATCCTCACAATCAAGATGACAGCACACTCACCCCCTTCAGGGTAGTCTTTGTCACCTGGTGTCACTGTGTCACCTTGTTACATATCTATTTCATGTAATCACCACTACAACCAGGATAAACACTGCTGAGCACCGGAGACCTTCCTCCTGAAACTCCATTAGAGTCACAGCCATTCACCATCCAACCCCGCCCCTCACAACCACAACCCTATTCTCTTCTCTATAACTGTGTCACACAGATGGCATCGTACAGTACATAGGTGACATTTTGGTTGCCTGTTCTTAGTCAGTGTAATGCCCTGGAGCATCCAAGGTGCTATGTATCAACACCATACTGCCTTTTTTAAGGGGGAGGGGAGTTGAACTCAGGGCTTACACCTTAATCCACTCGGGCAGCCCTTTTCTTGCGATGGGTTTTTTTTCCCGAGATGGGGACTTGGGAACTAGTTGCCTGAGGGCTCAATCCTCCCTGTCTCTGCCTCCTGAGTAGCTAGGATTTACAGGCGTGAGCCACTACTGCCTTTGAATTGCAGAGTATCCCATGGCCTAACTATACTGAAGTTTGTGAGGACTTTTTTTTTTTCTTCCATTTAGCAGTACTGGAGTTTGAACTCAGGGCCTTGGGTCTGCTAGACGGGCACCCCAGGCCTCAACCTTTGAAGGACATTTTGGTTACTTATAGATTTTGGGTGTTACAAATCAGCTGTGAACATTTCTGAACAGGTGTTTATAGATAGCAGTTCTCCTTAGTCTGAGCTAAACGTATGGAGTGCAATTGCTGGATCCTACGGTGATGTGTATTTAATTTTTTTTTTAATTAAAGAAACTGCTAGCTAGATGCTGGTAACTCACGCCTGTAACCTTAACTACTGAGACTGGAAGGATCAGGATCCCAGGCCAGCCTGTGCAAAAAAGTTTGCAAGACCCCCATCTCAACAAAAAACAGCTCGGTGTGGTGGCACACACCTGTCATCCCAGTGAGGAGATTCCTAAGATAGGAATATCTTATTCTACATGATCTCGCTTTTATGTGAAATAAAATAAAAAGTCAAATACATAGTAACTAGGTGGGGTGGTTACCAGAGGTAAAGAGAGGGAGGAAATGGGAAGAAGTAGGTCCAAGGGGATAAACTTGGAGTTGTGTAGGATGAAAAGTGTAGAGCTCTATTATTCAAAAGGACTATAGCTAACGATAGTATGTGTATGTTGAAAATCCGCTAGTAAGAGTGTATTAGAAGTGCTTGTCCCAATTAAAAGAGGGCAATGATTTTACACACAGGCATATCAAAGCATCGTGATGTACACCTTAAATATACACAATAAAAAACAAAGTCGCCAGGCGTGGTGGTGCATGCCACTTGGGAGGCTGAAGCAGGAGGATGAGGAGTTTGAGACCAGCCTGGACTGCACAGCAAGACTCTGTCTCAAAAGACCAACAAAGGGCTGGAGGTGTGGCTCAACTGGTAGAGCACCTGCATAACAAGTGCAAAGCCCTGAATTCAAACCCCAGTACCACCAAAAGAAAGAAAGAAAGAAAAAAAAAAAGGCCAACAAAATAAAACAAAGCCTCAAAAATTTAAGGTTTCAATCATGTATGTATGCTCTATGTGTAAATGCATGCATGTCTAGGAGATATGTGTTTATGTATGTATGCACGTGCGTTATCTAAATGTATGTTGTGCACAAACACAATAAACATGATATGCACTCATGTATGTGTGCGCACAATGTGACACATGCTGTGTGCACACAATACATACTTGCACATTTGCACGTGTTATGGCTATGCATTTCTGCATTTGCGTGTGTCTATGCGACATGTATGCATACAGGTACATATGACAGGTGAGCATACACGGTATGGAGCTGTGTGCGTGTGGCATGTGTTTACATTGGATACTTATGTGCCGTTTGTGCGGATGGATGTGATTGCTTATACTTGTGCACGTGCGCAGGTACACAATGCATTCATGAGTGTACGTGAGTGTGTCTATGGACCCATTTATGTAGATTATGGACTATCCGCAAGTAACTTGTTTGAGATCTGAATTTATGTACTATTTGTGTGTACATGTGTACACGCGGACGCGTGTGGAGTATTAATCGTACTTATGCGTAAGATTAATCCACGCACCTGCACCTAGCACAGATGATCGTGTCTGTCTGCGGCGTGTGCACACCACACGTTCGATGTGAGCGGGACCTCGGCCCCGGGGTGCTGACACCTGGGAGGCTGGTGTCTGAGCCTGCGGTCTGCTCATCCCATTGGGCGTCGCGCTGGCTCGCCGTCTCCGCGGAGCTCACACGCACCGCCTGCTTCCCTCCCGCTGCCGCACACTGTCTTCGCAGGGGCCACCAGTGCGCACGCGCAAGCCGCGCCGGGACGAGCGCCGCGTCGTCGATGGCGGGGCCGCGCACGCAGGCGAGCGCCGGGAGGAGCGCCGCGACGTCGATGGCGGGGCCGCGCACGTTCGCGGAGCCGCGCACGGCAGCACGCCCAGCCGCCATCTTCCGTCCCGGGCGGCTGCTAGGGTGCAGGCGCGGGGTCAGCGGCGCCCCTCGCTAGGCGGTGGCGGGGCGTGGATGAGGCAGGTGTGGAGAGGCCGCTCGCCAGCGTCGCCGCGCTCGCGCCCGCGGGCAGGCCCGGGAGCGCAGAGCCCCAGGGCGGGCGGGCCGGCGGCGCCGGAGACCTGCTGGGTGTTCCTGGGCCGTCCCCGGGCCGTCCCCGGAGGCCCTGCCCCGAGGTCCTCCCGAGCCCTGGGAGACCCGCCCCGAGACCCTGCGGACAGCCCGCGCCCCGGTCGGGCCGCGCAGATGGGATAGGCGGCGAAGATGTTCAGCTTCGAAGGGGATTTCAAAACGAGGCCCAAGGTGTCCCTCGGCGGCGCGAGCAGGAAGGTACGGCCGCTCGGCGACGCGGGGCCCGGGAGCCCAGGCCCGGCGGGCTCCGGGCTGGCGGCGTGGGACAAGTTGACCTCTCAGCGCGTAGTTGCCACCTGTGCCCCGGCCCTTGCTGCACTCCAGTGGGTCGGCCCGTTACTCGTGGGGGGCGGGGCGGGAACGAGCCGCCCGAAAATTGTGCGACGGGGCCTGTGATGGCTCGTGAGGCTGGGGGAAGGCGACCTGGGCGGGAGTCCTCGCGCTGGTTGGTTTGGAGGGTGGCGGTCGTGCGAGGTGGCTGTCGCACAGCGGTGGGCGTGGGAACCGGGAAGGGGCTTGCGTGCTGAGGATAACTGTATGCCAGACGGAGGGGACCTGAGAACCTCCGCCACATCGCCTAGCAGACAGGGCTGGAAGGCCAGGTGCGGAGGCCGGGAAACACGGCACGTCCACCGCCAGCTCCTGGCAGGTCCGGGGTCATTCATTATGGGATCTCCTGGCTTCTGCAGACGGAGTGCCCGCCAGGCCCTGCCACAGGTGTTGCTCTTGCTTCACGAAGTGACACCTCTCTCTGCGACGCAAGTGCTTGTCTGTTGAGCAGACTCTCCGGGGGAGATTGCACATTTTGCTCTTTAGCTGTCCCTTTAAAAAAAAAAAAATCAAACTTTTTATTGAGATGTAAACTTAATACACAGTCAGGCTCACAAGTCTTGAACGTCTTGTTTTAGGTTCTGTCCCCTAGAATAGCCTTGAGAGGAGGCTCGTGTGTTTCTAAAACTGGACAGGAAGGGAGCAGGTGGGGCAGGGGCTTCCCAGCCAGGATCTGGCTTTACCTAGTGCCACCAAGGACGTCTTAGAGTAGTGCCTACTGGAGGCAGAGGACTAGTGGCTGCCAGCTGCCCCTGGGTGAAGGGAGAGTGACACTCCTGCTGAAAGGCATGGGGCGGGGGGGAGGGTGAGTCTGGAATCTGGATGGGAACCAGCAGTGTGTATAACTTAAAAGAATTTTTATGTGGACAGACCCAAATGTAAGTGGTTACCTCTCACATCTAAATAAAGAACATTTCTAGTATTCCTATCCAGTGTTCTCCTTCCCAAAGTGACTCTGACCTGTTACCTTAGATTAGTTTTAATTGTTGGTGTCTGACCTGTTACCTTAGATTAGTTTTAATTGTTGGTGTCTCTGACATAAATCCATCCATCTCACCGTGCCTCATTGTTCTACTCTGAACACCAAACAGGTTATGACGTTTTATGTCCTAAACTGTATGCGTGTTCTGCTCTAACACATACTGAACTGCTTCCCTCGTGTGCCACCACACTGCCTCCAGCAATAGTGGACACCCTTGCCGACACTTGGTGTTGTGAGACCTTTACTTTTGGTAGTTCTGGTGGGATGTAGTTTCCTTGTGGTTATGCTGTTTCCTGACACTTGATGTGTTGAACACCTACATGTGCTTATTTTTCTTAATTTTCTTTGTCCCTACATCAGTCCTTTCTCTCATTGGCAAAAAACTTATAATGACCTTTTCTTCATGTCTTAAATTATTATTTGTAATCTCCACAGTGTCCTCTTTTTTTTTTTTTTTTTTTAATGGTAGTGGAGTCTGAATTCAGGGTCTCATACTTGCTAGGCATTCCACTTGAGCCACTCCACTAGCTCTTCCCTTCTTTTTTTTTTTTTTTTTTTAACTTATTCATATGTGCATACATTGTTTGGGCCATTTCTCCCCTCTGCCCTGCCCTCGCCCTCCCCCTTCCCTTCTTTCTTGAGCTTAGTAGAGAATTAAATTGTTAGAACTGTTGGAATAAATAATCTGTAACAGTGCTAAAAAGCGCTGACTCCTCACTTGGGCCACAAGCTAACCAAAAGCAAGATAAAAGGTGTCTCTGCCTCCATAATGCATTTGTCTCCTTTGCTCTGGACCATTCTCTCCTGCAGTCACCTTGGATTCCAGGAATGACAGGGCTCATGGATAAATATCTTGTGACAAGAGTCAAATCTACAACCTCCAGGCAGCAATAACTTTTTCCTCTGAGTACTGGGGATTCAACCTAGGGCCTTGCCGTTTGTGTGCATTCTACCATTGAGCTTTTTTTTTGGGGGGGGGGCAGGGTCCTACTTTACAACCCAGACTGGCCTCTAACTCATGACCCTACATCAGCCTTCCAAGTGCTTACATTGTGCCTGGTTTGCAGTGGCTTTCTTATCTAACAAGGCCCTACCTGACCAATCCTGAAATAGTGATCAACTGGACACACCTTTGCCAAGATGTCTTAATTAAGCACACCTTTCAACCCTGCCCCATGTTTTCTCTATTTATACCTAAACTTGTGTCAGTACCTGGAAGACGTGTTTGGGGCCACAGATTTCCTTATCTGTTTTCCCACAGGGCCACATTTGATAAATCTTTCTCTACTTTTCACCCCTGGTCATCTCTTCAGTTGGCGCATTGGATCGGTGGCCCAGCCCCCCAAGTCAGGGCTTTGCCCTAAAACTCCTGCAACACATTTTTCCTGTTTTCAAGTTAGATAAGTTTTTAGTGTTTATTACCTCTAAAGGCTCTGTGTAGGAAAAGTCATTGTTGGTGACTTTACAACCTCATTGGGGAGATAAGATTTAAACTATGAAAAATTAAGTAACAGAATCTGGTTTGTTTGGTTTTTTTTGGCAGAACTAGGGTTTGAACTCAAGGCCTGACTCATGGCTCTATCACTTGAACCTCACCTCCAGCAAAAAGTAAAGTAACAATAGATTGATGGCTAGGTGCTCCAAGAATGGTGCTTGGTCCTGAAGGGTGGTAGAACAAGTATGGGTATGATTCAGAGAAACACTAGCTTCCACTTCTTAGCTTTTCTCTGAAATCAGGGAATGTCTTGTTGGCAAGATGTAGTTTAAAAGTAATTTTTTTCTCTGGAGTGCCTAAAGAATATCTTAGGGGTCATTCGACTGCAAGTACAAAAGTCTTCTGGAACTGGCTAAAAGGCAAACAAAACCACGCTTATGAGAAGACTGATTAGTGTCTTCTCACACAATGTAAAGGTCAGAAGCTCAGCCAGTGCCAGGTTATCAGTACCAAAGCGGTTAGGCCAAGTCTTTCTCCTCAAACTTCACCCTTGGCTTGCAGACTGGTCCATTTCTCTCCAACATGGCAGGGACAGTGTAATTTTACAGTGCACTACTCTTGGTGTTACTTCTAGATTCTCAGGAGAGAACTCTGCTGGTTTTGGTGTGGCTTCCATCTATGCTTGATTCTGAGGAAGACTGGAGGCTGGCACAGAGCAGACCAGGCATGTGAGGCAAGGGATGAGACTGCACAGGGACACAAAGGTTCTCTGGGGCACAGGCAGTGGGCTGGGCACCTGTGGAACTGGAGAGGAGTCTGGGTAGACAAGAATATTGGGGTCTGCCAGCAGACACGTGGCGAGCCACACAGTTTGGGACAGGAGTAGTTAATGTGGACCCACATCTCAGTTGAGGAGTGGTGTCTGGGGAGAGTCTCTACGAGGGAGGAGTGGCTTAGCAGGACCTAATGCTGCAGAGGTGTAGTGAGGCAAAAATAGTAGCTTACCACTAGACTTGGAACTAAGAAGACTTTGGGGACTTCAGTGTATTCTGCAGGGTAGTAGGAGTTTAAAGTCAAGACTGCTGTATCTGAGGAGTGGAGGGAAATCTGAATGGAGTCTGTCTGTTCTGAAAGGGCCAGAAGTCTACGGCCATACCACCCTGAACACACCCAATCTTGTCTGAAAGGGCCAGAAGAGCCAACCGGTGGCTCACCCCTGTAATCCTAGCTACTGGGGAGGCCGAGATTGGAGGATTATGGTTCAAGGATAGCCCTTCCTAAAAGTCCATCCATCTCCAAAATCAGAGCAAAATGGCAAAATGAGCTGGAGGTATGGCTAAAGCAGTAGAGTGCATGCTTTGCAAACATGAAGTCCTGAGTTCAAACCTCAGTCCCACAAAAAAAGAAGAAAAAGCCAGAAGATTGGGTGATAGGGAGAGAGAATTCTGAGGTGGGGGATGGGGCAACTGAGCAAGTTTACAGAAAGGAGCAAGTGTGTGTGTATGGAGGAGTTGGGTGACTTTCAGAATCCTGAAGGAGGCAAAAAGCTGGAAGAATCAGGTGTAGCAGGAAGAAAGGAGATGTTTTCAAATTGAAAGAAATTGACAACGGGAATGACTAGCAAAGTTTGTAGGTAGGAGGAAGGAATTTGAAAGTTCTTTTCCTGATTTCTAGAGATAGTTGAGCTAATGGTAGAATTATTAACACTTTAATATTTATCTGTTGCTTTAAAAAAAATACTAGACTTTATTCCTCAGAGCAGCTTGAGGCTTACAAACAGTGGAGCAGATGGTGGAGTTCCTATATGCTCTTTCGTAGTCTCTCCCCCATCCAGGCCATCGTTCTTTGATCATTAGTAGCTTCCATTAGTGTGGGTCATTATTATAATTGATGAACCAATTTCATTGTATGGGTCTGACAAATATATAATGACACATACTTACCTGTATAGCATCATACAGAGTAGTTCCATTACCCTAAAACCCCCTGTTCCCATCTCTCCACACCTCTCTCAGCCCCTGGCAAGCAAGGATCTTTTCTCTGTGTCTGCAGTGTTTTTTCCAGATATCACAGAGTTGCAGCCCTCCAGCAGGTAGCCTTTTCAGACTGTCTTCTGGTGCTACTAATGTGCCTTTAGGTTCCTCTGTCTTCTCATGGATTAACAACTCAGGTGGATTTTTTGTTTGTTTGTTGCTTTGTTTTTCTACTGTGGGCCTGGGATTTGAACTCGGCTTAAAGCTTGCATAGCAGGTGTTCTACTGCTTGAGCCATACCACCAACCCATTTGCTCTGGTTATCTTGACATGGGGTGTTGAGAATATTTGGGCTAGTGTCAACCTCGATCCTCCTGAACTTAGCCTCCCAAGTAACTAGGATTACAGGTGTGAGCCACCAGTGCAGGCTTAGTTTTTTTGAGTGGTTTAAGTAAGGTTTACAAAAAGAAAAAAGGAT